GGCCAGCGCCAGGCTACAAAGGGGTAGTCAAGTTTATATGTTAGCTTAGTAAGTAGGTTTATGTTAGAGAATTTTTTATGGAATTGAATGTTTCAGACAATAGACAGAAAACGTATAGTTCAGTTTAGTTATTTGAATTTGTCGTATATTTACATTTAAAAATATTCGATTGCCTCTTTTATTGAAACTGCTTAAAGAGCTGACACTTAATTTTAAAATTTTTATTTGTATTGTATTTTTTTAGCTGTATTTGTATTTATGAATATATATACTTTCCTATTCAACTGATTTGGTATATGCCTTGATCTTCATTTTCTTAATTTTGATAATTATTCTAGAAAAAACTATATACACCAATGTTGGAGAGACATTCACTGTGCCGTGCCAAAACAAAACTCCTGGCAGCTTCTTTGGTATAGTTTGGAAATCGACTGCGAAGAAATACAATGCGGAGCTGTACACATACCTAACTGTAAAAGGATACAACATAGATGAGACAATCGTTGAGCGTTCGCGACTCGTCAAAGACACATACCTCCAAATTGATAAGGCCAAGTTGAGCGATTCAGGCGTTTATGAATGTAATTTATTGTACGAGCCACCATCTAGAAGAATTCATGCCATGATGGCTTCAAAGGTTACAGTGGTTGTTTTTGGTATGTTGAATCTTTCTTCCTTCCATTTCCTATGTTCTAATTTTAAACCTACTAAAGACCTTTAAGTATGTTCTCCAAGAAAGGGATGGGTGGGTTTCATAAATATATGACTGATAAATGTTGTAATATCGATTTCGCACCGTCTTCTCTTTCAGTGATCTTTAAGATAATATTCTTCGTTGTACTTATACCAAAGTTCTGTCTTTCATTTTGACTTGTTGTGCTATGTGATGGTTCTTTTCTTGAGGCATTGTTAAATCTAGGGTGGCAAACGAACCTGTCAATTTTCTGGCTGCCAGCCACGGCAAAAGTCTATAGCTAATTTGAGTGTTGAAATGTATACATTGATCCACAGCAAAGCCAAATATCACCTCTATAACGCCTGCAATACAGTACAAAAGTGTAAATGACAAGGCGGTCATTAAGTGCAGCGTGGAAGGGCACCCATACGCGAATGTCACTTGGGAGCACGATGGAGGAAATGATATTTCCAGAAAGGTAACCACAAAGAACAACACATCGATACTGAAGCTAAGGTGGCTCGAAGTGTCAGACACTGGTTACTATAATTGCATTGCCAACAACAGAGCTGGTCGTGTGCAGAAAAAAGCATTTATCAAAGTTCACTGTAAGTTAATTTCGACGTCAAAAAAGTTTCTTATAGATAATAGCCCAAATCAAGTGCACAGAAAATTCCTGCAAAATGATGGATATATAGTAGCAATTTGCTTTTCTTCTTCCCCTTTAATTGCAAATCATGCAAATACTATACACCCTTTTCGCGGGGGCAGTTGAAACAATCTCATTGCTTTCAAATCTTGAAAGATATTTGCCATGCCCTACAAACATACTTACAGTGTATCTTGTTATTCAGTTGTTTTCCATACAAGTTCCAACAGCCTCTGCATATTTTGTAGGCATTTGATAAAATTGTTAAATTAGTAACTGCTGATATCTTTGGTATCTTTTGACGGCTAACAGTCATTTCATAATAGCTCTTACGTGTTGCCCGTATGCTGTAACCCATCTATTTTCATTGCTTTAGATCCCCCAAAAATAACAGCACTGCCTCCATTCACAAACATCAATGTAGATGCAAACGGAAGAATCCAATGCAAGGCCGTTGGCTCACCGATACCAAGAGTATACTGGCATATTGAAACAGGTAGTAAGAAGATCGAATTAGTCAGTGGGCAGTCGCATGGAACAAAGTATTCGGTGTCAAAGACGGAGAAGGATTTGATTGAAGAAGCTGCATCGAATTATCTTGTCATAAATTCAGTGGATGTGAATGACTGGAAGAGTAATTTCACCTGCATGGTTGCCAATAGCCAAGGATCGGACGTCGAAACAGTGAAAATTCAAGGTTTTGGTAAGCGTTTTTTCAATGCTTTTCTTTCAGTCTTATAGCTATGGAGCCGACGTCTAGCTATGGAGCCTACTGTCTCGCATCTCTTAAATGCGTCAATAAGTCTTCTAGGATAGATATCGTGTTTGTGAAACAATTATTCATCGTGGAGTCAGTTGACTACTGGTGTTCAAAGCTAGCTTAAAGAAATTTGGATATAGCCACCACTTCTCGTTTCTTTTTCAATTTTTCTGTCATTATAAGTTCATTAACCTTCTAAAGAGTAAAGCGATGCGTGGCTTTGTTATGGTTTCAAAATGCCCTCTCGGTCTACTTCATTTGCCCTAGGTCTTTAGCTCGGTAAGGTTTTCACCACAATTTTGCCAGTCACCACAGTCTGGTCCCTCCCCGTAACCATCTGTCCGCCATCTTTTTTCTCAATCTGCCCACATAACAGAACTGCTTTGCCTCTAGCAAGGTAAGCAGGAACATGCTGTTAATTATTAACCAAAAGAGGTTTAAATGTTATTATGGACACAATGAAAAGCTTTCTGTCGTGCCAAAGTACACTTTTGAAAAGTGGTGAATATTTCTACTCGTCATAGTGACAAGAGATCATCTAAAGGAAAATAGCTTTTGCTTTTCTAATTTGCTCGCCACTGATTGGTTGAAATAAAGCCAATTAGACCTTTCGATGATTAAGAACCTTCATTTTGGATTTTTATCCGACGGTACGTAATATAAAATTCAGGAAGAAAGCAAAACGGCGACGAGAATCCAATGTAATTCAAAATAAATTAAATAAAACGAATACTAATATTTCACCCCGGCATACTAACATTTCGACCCGGTATACTAATATTTCGCTTCGGAATATGGCTGCAGCGACAAGGGCTCTCCGGCAAAAATAACCCATAAGCAATAATAAGAAAATTGATTTGATCACGTGAATCAATGAGAAAACCTTCAAGCCCCTGAAGAGCTACACTACACATCCTCCCGAGTGATATTTAACCAACATAACATTTGAATTTCAATGGCATCGACTTCCTTTTTTTCAGAAAAACCAGGGGTGCCACAAATACTCAAAATAATTCCCTTGGCTGACAAAGTGATAGTGCAATGGTCTGTCCCAAAGGACGGTGGAAGCAAGATATTGGCGTACGTCATTGAATACAAGAACGAAACGCAGAAAGAATGGCTGTCACGTGAGATTCGGCCTGCAAATATCGACAGATATCAAATAATGGACTTGAAGCCACATACACTTTATAGTTTTCGTTTGTACGCAAAGAATGCAGTGGGGCGAAGTGCATTTAGTAAGCAGCACACTTACCTTACAACTGGTACGGCGTCAAAGGATGCCAACCCTGGAACAGCGAGGCCAAGCGGTAGAGGTATTTCAGATTTCCATTATCGCATTGGTTCATCCTTAATTCTTCTTCCAACGGGAGGGTTTCGCCTAAATAACTGGTCTGCCGGCCAAGTATTTCGTATTCACGTGCCATATAGCGCTCCTTAGTTTTGGAAAACGATGTCTAATAAATATCTGTTTTAACCAGAATTGGTATATGTAAGTTACAATTTTATTTAAAAGTACAGTTATATCTACATGGTAGTTGATAAGCACATGCTTTGTAATTGAATATTGGTTTCAGGAGGCACGTATGTTGCAGTTAAGTTTGTTTATATTGTCGTTGTTTGGGCCTAGTCAACTGCAAAGCTTTTAGGAGTAACGTTGGATTACAAACTTGATTTCGACCCACATATTTCGAATCTTTGCAAAAAAGCTGCAACACAATTGTATGTTCTTAAAAGATTAAAGACATTTATTGGTTTCCAGGAGAAAAAATTCTTGTTCAGAGCTTTGTATATTCCAATTTCAGTCATTGTTCCTTGGTCTGGTATTTTTCATCTTCTAAGTTATTACAGAAAATTGAACAGACACAAGAACGCGCCCTAAGATTTCTCTATTAAATCAGAAAAATGCACGATGCTCGTTGCTAGTCAAAGAATTCTGTGCATTGAAATATTCAAAAAGTAAAGCAGTTGAACCCATCTTTTATGCAGAGTATTTTTAAATTACGTTCGTCAAATTTTTCATTAAGAAATCCAAATAACTTAGCCCATTTTAGACCTAATCAGACAACATCTGGATTCAAACGTCTTAGGTCAATTGGGCCACAGATTTGGAATGGCCTACCCAACGATCTGAAATCCGCAGAAAATTTGAAAAGTTTTAATAGTATAATAAAGCAATGGGACGGACCAAATTGCAAATGTATTGCCTGTCAGCTTCTGCCAGTAAATGCAAATTAATCTTTAACTTAGTATCTATAATTACTTTAATGTACTAATTGGTAGCTATGTTCGATTTTGGTTAGTTAACATTGTACATTTATGTATATATTGTTAGATATTGTTTTTATATCGAATTAAGATAAATTTATAACAACATCAAAAAAGGCGCCTTTTTACCCCTTCGCCACCTTCCCCTACTTGTCCTAAACAACTAATTGTTAATTCTTTCGTAGATTCGTCAGTGTCAAAACAGAAGGACGGAATCCTAGGCAGCTTTGGACTGACAGCGATGATTGGGGTGTTTGCTGGCGTGTTCCTGTTTCTTGTGATTATTTTTGTCATTGTTTTCTTCCTGTTCCGAAAGGTGCAAAAAACAACTAATAGCCAAACTGCATCAATCCCAGGGAGCAGGCCAGTCAGTATGGAGAATGGGACTCTCTTGGTATGTCAATTTGTTTCAACTAGTGTAGAAAGATAGTTACTTGTGGTACTTTAGAGAAGGCGCATCGATAACCCCAACCCCCAACAATTCTGGCCTCTCGGTAAAGCGCAGTATATCTTGCATCTATGCTATTCCCACTTGACCTGTAGCGCTGATTTCACGATCAGAATGTACATTGAATCTCGAGAGGTGGAGGCAACGTTGATGTTGATCCCCTTATGTGTTACGCGGCATCTACACGCTTTATGCGGCGATTTTGGCGTTCCCTTTCTTTTTGTCGCTGGATCACAACGCATCATATTAGTGCGAATATAAAGCATCGTCTTCCTTTTTATTTAGTGATAAGGGTTCATGATCACGAAAATGGCTATTTCTGCCCTATAAATGGCCTATAACCAACCCAGGGTTCGGCGTGGATCAGGTCGAAACATGTTTTTTACAAATTTATCGCAGCGACTCAATCGGCGCTCTTTTTTTAAGCCCCCTGATAGTCGGCGACCATCGGCTAGGCCTCCAGAAGTCTCCGAATTTATCCCATTGTTACCAAGAACTGACCATTGGGAGTTTCCGCGTGATCGCCTTAGACTGAGCACTGTTCTCGGAAGTGGTGCATTCGGCATGGTGATGCGAGGGGATGCGCAGGGAATCAGAGGTTCAAGCGGAAGTGTCAAAGTCGCTGTGAAAGTAGCTAAAGGTGAGAAGAATTTGCCAAACGTGTTTTTCAGTTTTTTTGTGAGTAACACGAAAGAAACTAAAGCTTACTTTGTGAATACTTCCCTGAATGTTCTTTACTCATTAAAATATTGCTGGGTTGGACCTTATTCACTGCCTGTTATTAATTACTAAACTGTAATGAGAATCTTGACCTGGGAAATTTGTTGCTATTTGAGATTTTATTATGAAGGTCCCGTTTGTAACTTTGTTGATCCTCGTATATGCTGGCATGGCCAAGTTTAGAAACTACGTGACCTATAAGTTGTTACATGGGTTCTTTTTTAGACGTTGACAATGAAAATGCTAGGAAGGATCTCTGTGCTGAGCTTGACATGCTGAAACTTCTTCCGGAGCACCCCAATGTGGTGGGACTCCTTGGTTGCTGTTCTCGATCCGAACCTCTGATGATAATCGTCGAATACTGTGCACATGGTGATTTACAAGGGTTTCTAAGAAACAGCAGAGGCATTTCGGAGCAATATTACAAAACCAACTATCATCCAAGTGGGGAGAAACTGTCTTCAAAAATGCTGCTCAAATTTGCCTGGCAAATCACCAAGGGAATGACCCATCTCTCGGCCTTCAAGGTTGGTCTATAAACGGATTTAATGAGCTTATAAGCACTTAAATTTAATACTGGATCTAAAACTAGATTTAGTAGTATTGATTAAAATTATTCTGTTCTTGTTTATTTGAGACATTTTCCCCTCCATCGGATTAGTAAATGACACCCTCTTATTTTCCCGGTGCCAGGAGACGTTACCCTCATTGTTTCGTCCAGCAGGGGAACTGTTGTTGTCAGTTGCAAGAAAACCACACCCTTTGTCGCTATCTTTTGGAACTGAACGATAAAAACATTATTTTCTCTGTGAAAATTTACAAATAAAATTGATAAAACAAGATTTTTTTATCCCTGGCAAGAAATTATGGCACGGAAGTTTGAAACATTTTGAAAAATGAAATTAAATACTCCAATTTTCATAGCACCATATCAAAAGTTTCTTGACTTTTCCACACAGGATATTTTACTTATGCATAACTTAACTTTCGTCGCGTGTTTTACAGTTTCATTCATCAAATGATATTTGATTACATAGACTTCTGGTCTTTGCTCCTAGGTGATTCATCGCGATCTTGCATCCCGTAATATTCTTGTTGATGAGAACCTTGTGTGCAAAATCAGTGATTTCGGGTTTGCTAGGGATATTTACATCGAAGACCAATATATGAAGAAAAGCCAGGTGGGTTAATTAAGCTAACGTGATATTTTATTCGTATGTTATTCTGCGAACCTATAAGCTCAATGATTTATTTATCATGCTTTTTTAATGATTTCGTTAGCAAATCTTTAAACTGCTAGTTTATTCGTTCCTTAGGGTGGAAGGTTTCCCATCAAATGGATGGCAATCGAATCTTTACTTGATGGAATATCGACATCAAAAAGCGATGTGTAAGTGTTTTGTGCATTTTGGTTTTGTATTAGTAGTCATCAATATTACTTCGCTTGTTGTCTTTATGCTGTCAGTGTTGTCATCGCCATGATTATCATAATCATAATCATCATCATCAGTGTGATTAACAGCATCCCTTACGATCATCGTCTGTCATCATTGCTACCTCCACTACAACGCAACAAGCATGGATATCATCAGCGTAAATTTTCATTCTACAATGCCTGCCAAAAGTCTTGGAACACTGACATCAATTTCCAAGGTCAAAACCAATCATCCCCCTCTCTCCCACGGAACAATGTTGGTTTACTATCAAACGGGTTAGGATTTTAGGAAGCACCTTCTTTTGCGCTTCTTTTATGATATTTCTTTAAATCATCAACATTGTTCGAGGGGGAAGGGGGCAGAAGTAGCAATTTTTTTTCATGAAAGGAATGAAAGATATCAAATGCAGCGTAAATCGGTGGGTGTTCCAAGTACTTTTGGCAGGCATTGTAGTCATCAAAAGCTACTGTCGTGTAAAGTCACTTTAAATACCACCACGGCCGTCATGCTCATCTATTGGTCTCCGTATTTAGTCCTCTTTCAACTCACATTTGGAGTATTCTTTCCTTCAGATGGTCATTTGGTGTGGTGCTATGGGAAATTGTCACCCTTGGTGCTTCCCCTTACCCTGGAATGAATTCATACGAAGTTGTTAGTTTTCTTCAAGATGGGTACAGAATGGATAAACCCAAACACTGCTCTGATGAAGTGTAAGATTTATTTATTTTAATAATAAATTTGATTTGCAAATAAAAAGCCTGCAAAGATTAATATACATATTTTTTATATGTCTGTATATGAACAAGCCCTATCTCCGATTGTATGGAAATTGGTTTTTCATTGAAATGTTACTTTATGAAAAACATCTTTTTAACAGGTACGCTGTTTCAATGGATTGTTGGCACATAGCAGCTCAGAGAAGGCCTACGTTTGAGGAGCTTGCTGACAGATTAAAAGAACTTGTTGATGATAACAAGGTTGGTTAGCTAGAAAAATGATTAGTCTGCTCAACAAAGCGGTTCTAAACTGGTTCCATCTTTATCTCCTTTGAATTGTGACACTTCGTTATTTGGTGTCTCCAAATAAGAACTAAATGACTTGCGCAGCTGTGAACAAGATATCTATCTAGATCAAAAACCAGTTTCCCCTGATATTATCAAATTAACACCACGATTTGAAGCCACTTCTCCTTAACATTTCATTCATGCAGTTATTTTGTTTCTTCAAACCGTTGATCTTGACATTGTGGTACTAAATAAGGCTTTCTTCTTCAAAGTTCACCTGAAGGTTTTCTGTAATTCATTTAAAAACAATTCGCGTAACAACATCTTAGTGATTCCTAATCTCAGCTAAAGTTGAAGTCGACATTCTTAAACTTGAATTCTACCACAAACTTGTTTTTCGCTATAATTGTAAGTCTTTTCACTCAAAATTAAGGTTTCCTTTTTTTAAGTCACAACTTTTAGCGAGTTTATTGCCACTTTGATTGTAACTGCTTTTTCATGATGGTACAGTACTGTTCATACATAAAACGTGATTAGCATCTCGATTTTAAAACGTGTACTGTTAATCCAAGTTGTTTCTTTCTTGTTTAAAAGTTTATTCCTGTCTATCTAACGCCTATCGATCTGTCCTGACAGGAATACATCGACATGAACTTTTATCAAGATCATCTCTACGAGAACTTTGATGTAAACCTTGGATGCCAGACTTCTGCCAACACAAGTGCAATGGAGCTAAATACCTCTGAGTCAACACCACTGGCCGCTGCAGCCAGTAGCTAATGTATGTAGCCGCAGCTGTGGCTGCGGTAGATAATCTCCATTGCCGCCCTGTAGTGGAAGCCCCCTCCCTTCCCTTCAATACGAGGTGATGCTACGGTGCTCAAAACAAGCTGTCATTGGCCAGATCTATAAGAGCAGCAGTTTACATAACAAAGCATTAACCAAAGCAACGATCAAAGACGCACTTAAAGTGGTTAAAACTCATGAACGGTTTATAAAGACAAAGTCAAGCTGCATTTGTCGCCCCATAACCTCCTGCCATTTGACCATTAATGCTGTAAAAATAATGATTAATTTGGTGTTAGATTTCGTATGTTTTGTCAATTAAATTGCAATAAATGCATTTAGTTTAGATATAGGCAGATGTCTTCTGTTCTCTAGTATTTCCTTAAAATTTTATTGATATTTTTTCACCTGATATGGTTGATTGAAGCAAAACTGCATTGAAATGCGTTAATATTTGGTTGCCTAAAATCTTCACAAGTTATACCAGATTTTGGCTGTGAGAATTTTTGGTGGTAGCATTTAGTTGTTCAGCCAAATTTATACCAAATATGTACTATATAAGTGAGGGAATGTTGTATAGAATCTAAGTATGATGTCATTAATCGTGGTTTTTGTTGGCGTCCAACATTATTCCCAGTTCTTTCCATTCGAGAAATGTGTTTTCAAGTTTTGCGTTTGTCTTATCTTTCCATGATACAGGATGTGGCGAATTGCTAAGTCCTCCTTTTGTAAGGCCCTTGCAGACAAAGGTTAACTTTGGAGAAACCAAAACATTGTATTTTAAAAGTTTTTTTAACCACCTTTAGACGATAATCGATAACCTAAAATTATCTAAGACGACACAGCGCTTGTGTGCTTTGAAACTGTACGTAGGTCTGGCTTTCTTGTCTCCTCAAACACGTCTTTTTCAGGGCGATGCATGCCCTGCTGTCTGTAGGACGACTGTCTTCCCATTTTGGGCTGTCACATAGCTGCCTATATTCTATTTCCCTTTGAAGGGTATTCGTACGTTTTAAAAATCATTGACAGCATGCGAGACTCTGTAGTTTTATGTACACTTGTAAAGTATCGACTAAGACTACATAGTGAACCATGGCCTACGATATCCAGTTATTGTACAGAATCCAACGTTATTTTATAGAACTATGTGTTGGGACGTTTTGTTAGAGTAGACAGCTGAATTTTAATATTATTAGAATGGAAAGACGTAAAGAATTTGAAATGCTGCCACTTATATCATGTACAGTCTTTGGTTGAGGATATTATTGGTATTTTTGAAAACCTTCTCAGCCGCTTACTGAAGATACAATAATGTCTCATTGGCAAAACGTTGCCCACAAACCGACATTTTTTAAAAACCGACATTTTACTTCTCTATAAAGGTTTTTGCCTACACAGATTAAGTTTCAATTGCAAAATTATTCTCTAAGGACGTTATTAGTTGTATTGGACCTGCTTTTTAAGAAAAATTATTTGCCTTAAAATTTAGTCGTTTTCCAAGGTTATACAATCCTTGCCAAAAGTCTTGGTACACCAAGCTAAAATTTCGCATAAATTCAGTAGCATCCCCCTCTCCCCCTTGAAACAATGTTGAATAACAACAGTTTCAAAGCTTGAAATTCGTCCAATGTCAGTTTACCAGCTAGGGTAAGTAATAGTCTTTTCAGCCAACATTGTTTTTGGGGGGAGGGGGGATATATCTGTATCTTACAGCCGGAAACCTTTATTTCTTCAAAATCTTTCATTGGTCACAGGGTGTTCCAAGGACTTTTGTCAAGGATTGTCTGACAAATATTTTTGAAGCAGTGCATTTGAGATCAAGCAATTAGTTCCAATCTGAGGTTTTCCATGCCGCTGATTTCAGTGGTGGTGTTTTTTTTTCAATATCTAGTCCACTTCATAACATAATTGTCTATCTACTCTAAAAATATTGGTTTCATACGTAAAATAAAGCAAAATTAGAAATTATTTGTATTCTGAAAATTTGTTGCATCTACCTAAAGAAGGGAGGTCACTTTTGAAACCGAGGCCAATTTGGTTGACGGTTGAGGGAGTAAAAGTTGAAATTCTTTAATTATGATTACATATGTCTTCAGATAGTCAAAATGGCTAACTCCAGTAGCAACGCAGATCCTCAAAAAATTGGGGGCAGAGACGTAAGAAAAGTTTATCTGATAACATACAGTAGCGCTAACTCTGAAGTTTATGATAGAGAAAAATTCTCTGATATGATCGTGAAATGTTTTGAGGCAGTAACGACAGCAAAAATTTCCCAATGGGCATGTTGCATGGAGCAGCACAAAGTAAACGGCTACCATTTCCACATGTGCATTTTGTTGGACAAATTACAGAGATGGCTAAAAGTGAAAAATTATGTCCAACAAAAGTATGGTATTGTCATTAATTTTTCTGGTCACACAGGCTATCATACAGCATTCAATTATGTTGTCAAGGAGGATAGTAGTTTCATTACCAGCAGCAATCACCCTGAAACTGTTTCTTCTCCAAAAACGAGCAAGGCAACAAGGAAAAAAGCTGCAAAAACCCTTCAAAGGAAAAGAAGCTGAAGTCAAAGCGTCTTTCAAACTTTGATGTCGCCAATATTATAGTTGAAAATAAGCTGCGATCGCGTTTAGATGTTCTTGTTCGGGCTAAGTCCAGTTTGGAAAAGGGTGACAGAAGGTTGTACGAGTTTGTCCTGAACAGAGGCGATAAAAAGCTGAATGATCTTCTGGACACCGTATGGGAGTTGGAGACTGCCAAGGAGAAGCAAGAAAGGGCTTCTATGTCTAGAATAGACATCCTTAAGGAGCAGCTTAGCGTTGGGTGCACCTGTGAAGGCCAGTGGCTCGAGTGTGCTCTCCAAATCCTTGACAAAAATTGCATCGATAGGTCTGTGTTTGCAAATGCCATTGTCAAACTGCTTGTTATGGGTCGTGGCAAGGGCCGTAATATTTACATTACTGGCCCCGCCAACTGTGGCAAGACTTTCATCTTAGACCCCCTTAGAGTGGTGTACGATAGCTTTCTGTCCCCAGCTACTTGCTCGTATGCATGGCTTGGAGTTGAGAACAAGGAGGTTATATTCCTCAACGATTTTCGTTGGTCTCCCGTTATACTTCCTTGGGCTGACATGCTGCTGTTGCTTGAAGGCCATGTGGTACATTTTGCTGCACCCAAAACCAACTACAGCAAGGACATCGAGTTCACGAGGGACACTCCAGTGTTTGCTACTGCCAAGGCCCCCATCTCCTTTATCAAAGGCTCGGTAATGGATGATCGTGAAACAGAAATGATGTCTGTTCGCTGGCGCATATTTACGTTCAGGCATCAGTTTTCTTTGGAAGAGCAGAAGACAGTCTCCCCATGTGGCCGTTGTTTTGCAAAAATGCTCTTGGAATAACAATGATTTCCAGACGCTCCTTCCTAGAGAAGCTGCCCCGTACAAAGCGAAATGGTACTCG